TTTTGAGAAAATAGAAGTTTTTGCCCCTTGTTCAGTTTCTTTAAAAGGAGAGTTTTCGCTATAACCAAGCACAATATACACACCAATGAAACCAAACTTCTCATATAGGTAGGGCAATGCCCACTTTTTGTGTAGGTCAAGATTTCTGAACACCCCCGAAATCTGGGTTTGCTCGCTCGTCCTTAAAAGCGACCAATTTGATTTTTGGACTAGATACTTCACATACAAATTATTCGTACGTAATCAACACAAAACAATAAATAAACTTATTGATTTTAGAATAGAAAATGCATAAAATATCAATATTGTATATTATATGATTTGCGTAAAATATACTCAAAAATAAATGAACAACTCTACAAAAGGCACACGTCTCAGAAAATGAAGAAAATTGATGAAACACAAATAATGCTATCTTTTCACACCATAAATTTTACACACAAAAAAAACAACAACAACGAATGATTTGTTTTCAGTTAGAAACATAATATCCTTATCAGACAGGTGAGTTTGAGAGTAACGGTTCTGTCATGAGATAAAGATAGCACACTCTGAAATTGTAATGAACGGTCAATGGGTAATAATAATAATGATTGCATTTATGTAATGCATATCCACGCTGTACAGCATGCTCTATGCCTTTGACAACTATTATTACCCTAGCAGACCCTAGAACTCTAAGAAACATTTCGTGTGAAGTGCCTTTCCCAACACAACGTCGGGCCTTTGACAGGACTAGAACCCACGACGTTTCAGTTATAAGTTTGAGAGCCTAATTACTTAGCTACCGACGCTAGGTCTATGGGCCCAGACTTAGGCTAGAGTACATAATTTGTAAACTGTTGAAACTGAGAATTAAGAGCTGTCAAGTTCAAATAAAGAGAAACACATCAACACAATTGCAACCATCTGGAGCAAGAGAAAAGCTTCGTTTTAGCTTTAGTTAGAGTTTTATTGCACTTGCAACATAAGATATATAAGAGCTGCAGGTGAGAGGTATTATTAGACAGTATTTCATGGCCTACAAAGAAAAGGAGGAGGGGAGATTAGAATGATAGACGTTAGGAAAGAAGGGGCAAAACCACAACAAAAAGGCTGCCAACCATCCACCAAGAGAAAACCAAAACAGATAGACAAAAATAGCAACAGGAACAGAAGAGAAAGACCTACCGGTGTCACCCTTAACAACCCACTTGTTGTAAGAAAATTGAGTCAGTTCTCCTAAATCAAAACAACATTTTTTTTAATCCCTTCATTTTGTGAAGTCTCTTTAAACTTTGGTAGTCTTACTCGTTTGTTTGTTTTTTCTTTTTCTCTATATACTTCGCAGTAAGTTTTGAATATCATAAATTCTTCACTTGATCATTGTCAAATAGTTGGCATTTGAAAGATTTTCATATTTTAATGACCTTACAGTGTGAGAGAAGAAAAAAAAACGTGGCATAATTTTTTTCCAACAAAGACCGAACTACATCCCATCCACTCGTAACATCCCCCAAACAAAAATATCTCACCTCATACCTATATTATGTTTAGCAGTTATTCGTAACTTTAAAGCGTATCCCAACTCCACAGAATAGAGTCTGACAAGTAAATATATCTTTTTATATTCACACACCATAGAACAGCAAATAATGTACGCGTTTGAATGTCATGACTTACAAGTCTAATAAAAATTACAAGGACTTACACGTGGTATTCTAGAAACGTTTATAGTCAGTCAATTGCTTGACTACCAATAGCTCGCAAGTACGAGGGGTAGTCAAAAAGTAATGCAAGTTGTCCGCTATTTTGCACAGTTTTGTATCAAATTTAGTTGAATTCAACTCACAAGTACTTGATCATGTACGCGTGAACACAAAGTATTAAAATTTAAGTTTCTTTACTTTTGGATCGAATTATGTCACATCAAAATGGCTACCCTCTTGGGGGTCCGTCAGAGGTAAAGAGTAGTGATTGAATTTCTTGTTTTAGAAGGTAAATCCACCAGTAACATTCAAAAGAAACTTCAAAATGTTTACAAAGACCAAGCTCTAGATTTTGGAACTGTATATAGGTGGCTTATACGTTTCAGCAAAGAACCGGAAGAAGAGGAAGAAGTGTTCATAAGCTTGTCAGACAAGCATCGTCCCGAGAAGGCAGCTGGAAAAATCATGGCAATTGCGTGTTTTGGGATGTAGCGTGCTCTCACATATTTTTTTACCATGATGAAAAACTGTCAGTTCTGAACCCTACTTTGAAACACTGAAACGACTGAAAGCGAGAATTCGACGAGTCAGACCATATTTGAACATGGAAAGAGTGGAGGGTTTTTTTCACCTAGGAAATGCCCGCCTGCATTCAAGTACCAGAACAAGGGAGACAATCACCCCGTTTATGTGGGAAACACTCCCACACTCAGCTTATTCTCCTGATTTGGCTCATTCAGACTTCCACGTTTTCGGTTCTAGAAAAAGAACTATTGAGAGGTCAATACTAGGGAAGCAAGGAAAAAGCAAGATTGCTTTACCCATAAGACCACCCTGCTCAGTTTTACGAAGCTGGCACAGGTGGACTTAGTCAAAGTGGACAGTGGCTACTGAACGAAATGGAGACTATGTTGAGAAATAAAAGTTGGATCCTCAGATGCTCCTCTTCAATTTTAGGTATAATAGTTTCAAGTGTGTTCTTTTTTCTTTAAGTTATGAACGAACTTGCATTACTTTTAGACTCACCCTGGTAATCTATACTTACTTTTGCCCTGGATATTTTTTTGTAAATTATCATAAACAAACTTGAATAAAAAGGCATAACTACAATGAGAAGATACAAAGCAAACCAGAAAACAATTTCCTCTTGGGGCATGATGGTAATAGTTATTTGACATAAAACTGAGCCAATCATATCTCTTTATATGTGGGAAACAGAAACATTAGTAGCACCAACAAATAATCGTCACACAACTCTCTCTCTTTGTTAAGTATAAACTCTTTAGTTCCCCCTTTCCCACCAATGATTCTAGATTTAATTAATAACAAACTGTCTCTATCTCTCTCACGCAGTCTCTCTCTCTCTCTCTCTCTCTCTCTCTCTCTCTCTCTCTCTCTCTCTCTCTCTCTCTCTCTCTCTCTCTCTCCCTCTCTCTGTTTCTCTTTGTGTGTGTGTTTCTCTGTACTTCTCTGTCCTTTTCCCTCCCGCTTTCCCTCTCTCTTTCTCCCTCCCCGCTCTCTCCCTCTCTGTTTCTCCCTCCTTCTCCCTTCTTCTTCCTTCCTCTTTCCCTATCTCTTTTTCTCTCTCTCTCTCTCTCTCTGTCTTTATCTCCTCTCTCTCCCTCTATCTCTGTGTTTCTCCTTCTTTCACACTCCTTCTTCCTCCCTCTCCCTCCCCCCTCTCTCTCTCTCTCCCCCCCTCTCTCTCTCTCTCTCTCTCTCTCTCTATCTCTCTCTCTCTCTCTCCCTCTTCTCTATCTCCCTCCTCTTTGTCTGTCTGGCAGTTTCTCTCTGTCTCTCTCTGTCGCTCCTTCTCTTTCTCTCTGTCTCTCTGTCTCTCACACACAGACACACACACACACACACACACACACACACACACACACACACACAC